GGTACTGTTTTGAAGCACAAGAAACTTAATAACATAGCGAATTCATGAGTGTGTTGAGGGAAATCGACACTATGTTTGAAAAATTGTCGTTTTCTCCTTTTTTGAAGTAGTTTATAAAGAGGGTGTCGGTGTCAGTGTGTGTCCAACTACGCCAGATGTGAGTAATGTATTGATAAAAACATAAATGAAACAATATTAACAACAAAACAGATAAAGATTTATTATTAACATATCGTGATAGTATTGCTAGTATTTCTAATCAAATGAAAAAAAAAACGAAATGATACAAAACAGTTTTCAAATGTGACTAGTTTACCCCTACAAAAAGCGGAGGCACGAAAATCTCTCTATCAAGTGAAAATTTTCAACTAGAATTAACTCGTAAAAAGATTAATAAAAACTTAATTTTTTTGTGTTTAGGTCGATATCAATAGTTGATATAACGCAATGTAGTTTTAAAAGATAGATTGGGTTGTCATTTATCGCGGCTTTTGAAACAAATTGTGTGATGAAAAGTTCGATAAAGTCTATCTGATATTCTTCTGCATTTAGAGAGCAGTTCCCTTGAATGCAAGACTTCGCTCTACATTATCTGTAAGGTTATTTTGACTTTCAAAAACGTTTCATCCGATTTCGAGATTAGTTTTCTATGCATCAACGTGTCTGTCTTTTTTTTGGGATGTCCAATAGTTCTGAAAGTCTTAATAAAGATTTATAAAGTAACAAAATCGAATGAGGATTCGAGTTTTTAAGGAGTTACATTTTTCATCGTTAGACAACACATTTTTTTTCAACCTGGAAGTCCTCTTCAAGTGCAAAATTTACCGTTACAAATGTAATAAGATTTTATGATAAATCATTGAATTTTGACGCCTTTTATACCAGACTGAACTACTTTGAAGAACCAATCTTTAAATGCTTTAGAAAATTCTTGACATATCCTGTTTACAATCAGAACCATTTTTTGATGATTCTGCTTAATAACAATACCGTTTTGTTGTTTAGTTTTTATCAATAAAAATCGTTCAGTAGATCTCATATCGCTGAATGAGTCGCTCAGATCATATGCTAACACATGTCAAAATAATATGGGATCCTTTAGAGGACTTGTATTCATTACTAAGAAAAACCACTAATTAGAAAAAAAAAACAGAACTATTTGATTTTTCAATGTTTACTATCTTATTTTCTATTATAGATGCAGAACAGAATGACTAATGCATTCATACATTTTCTCATGAGTCTCTCAGAAAGTTTCTAGATACAACTTCCTAGAGAATTTACTTTTTCCTAGCAAAAGTATACTAGAATATGCATATAAACATTCGACATCGCATATATCAAATACAACAATTTAGTTTTTCTCTTATTATTTAATTTATTTTTGTCCATTTTTGTTATTACATGGCACAATGATTGTGTTCTTCATTCATAAATTATTAATGATAGTGCATTCAAAAAATATTTATATATAAATTAAAACAAAAAATTAATAACTCAAGAAATTTATTTCCGTTGTGATGACAAATGGAATTTAATTTCTTCCAATGATTGATTCAATCTGGCAAGATTATCTTGCATTTGTCGTGTACTTTCTTCAGACGATTGACTTAATTTTGTTAATTCATCTTGTATTCTTTTTAGATTAGTAATTGATTCAATTGAAACATTTTTATTATCATGTGTTTCTTGTACTTTTCCAATATTATCAAGGTATAAACCTTGAATTGATCTAAATCAAGAAAAAATTTCACGTTAAAATCTTGTTTCATGTTTCTCATTAAGTTACGTTAATAATGTAGATTTTGATGTTTTTGCTTCGGCATGAGCATATTCATATGTTGATGCACCTTCAAATTCATACCAATCTTTAATAAAATCTTTATTTATAGGAATTATTTCTACAAAAAAAAAATATTTAAATTTCTAAAGAATAAAATAAAATAAACTTTAACCTACTAAATACTTTCGCTCGATGATCTATTAAATTTTTCGAACAAACTCGTGCTATAGCAAAGACCATCATACGACATAGATGAAAAATATCATAAATAAGACTTATTGGTGGAAAAAATGGTGAACGTATAAAATATTCACGTGTAAATACATATTGTTGAGAATGCCAAATATTTTTTGTATCTTCATATACTTGATCAAATCGTTTACTTCAAAATTATTATTTCATTTGTATAGTTATCAATTATATTCAATACTTACCTAAACATTGCAATAAGCAAATTAATAAGTAAAATATTCACAAAAAGCATATGAGCAGCAAGTAATATATGTGTTGCAATTGACCAACCGGCATCAGGATATGCTATTTGAAAAAAAATTTATTAATAATGTTTATTATCCGAAGGTATCTGACGTAAAGAGATAGATTTTAACTTTTTGTTTTTAAATAATAGGTGTATGTTGACTTATTCTACATACACTAAAAAAATTAGACCTAAAAAACGAAGTTCCGCTGAATCATTATTAGTAGCAACATGAATGAATAGGAATATGAAAACAAAACAAAATCTTCGTCTAATTGAATGAAGAATACAAATTTTTCTTGAAAATTGTAAAATGCTAGAAAAACAAAGAAATCTCGTTCTAGAATCAGAGCGGACTTCTTTTGAAGGCAAAGCTTTTACAATTTGAATATACTAAAATTTCAGTATACATATATATATATATTTATAGCATGAAACTTAATTCGAAATTCTTCAAGTTTTCCATCATAAAATAAGAAAATGATGTGCCAATTAGTCTTTAATTAAGCATAAGTCGAAAGAGTCAATATTTATGTATATAATAATGAAAAAGCATAGCACTTATATACAATCGAAGTCGTATTAAAGGATTTCATGACAAGTATTCTTATGACACTTGCTTCTAAAATCTTCGTTGGTTTATATTTCTATCAAGCATGAACTCATATGTTTATATGATTTGCTTCTCTAAAGTCTTTTCATCATGATTAATTGTTCAAGTTTTGAGAATATTACTAGCATTATTCAAATAAGAATGTGTGTTTCGTATACTAATGAGTAAGGCAAATTGAATGGTATTTCAATTTTCAATTATTTAATGTGTTGTATTAAAAAACAAAATATACAACAAATTGCAGCGTGAAAAGTTCTACAATTTATATAAGATTACTTATTTTAAAGTTGCAGTTTTTGTTTTCAAAATAGACGAATCTTTGTGCAACCAAATTTCGACTGTGTGAAAAATATAATTTATTTAGATAAATGACGAATTCATTTTTTGTTATTTCATCTTCTCATTATTTGATATGCTTTATCAAAACAAAGAAAAAAAGTAAAATTTTGTGTCATCAATTTTTGCAGCATCGAAATTTGGTCGCACAAAACTTTGCCCATTTTGAAAACAGAAACGATAACTATAAGATAACCCATCTTGTGTAAATTATAGAAATTTTCATACTGCATTTTGTCGTATATTTTATTTTTAATATAATGAATTAAATAATTAAAAAATTGAAATACAAAATGCGTCCATTCAATTTGCTTCCTCCGTTACTAAATCAAAGATTAGTGGACTGTATTGATTGTTCATAATTGACGGAAAATGTCGAAAAGGAAACGTATATTTTCCATTTTGACTTGTTATTGATTGTCGTTTCGTTGATCTGATTACTCTATCTTAATATCATTATAATCATTCATTTACTATAGACTGAATAGTTAGTCTATCATGGCTACGAGAACGAAAATTGTGGCCATAAGTCTATCATCAACCTCGCATACTGTTGTTTCCTTTTTGATATCAAATAAGTGTCAGATTTTAAAATGCTGAAATGAATTTCAAATAGTTGCTGACCGTATTATCTTTGTTGATTGGAGAACCAAAGAAAAAACAAAATAAACATATTTTTTGTAATTTTAATACTACTCATTGTTTTCTACATATTTGAATAAAATGCTTCTCCTTGATTTTAGAATTAGGAAAAACTTATGTTCCCTGTGTGACGTTCTCCTTTCCGCTATTTTGATCTTCTATGTTTTCCACCAAACTCGTATTCATAGCAATCGGAGGTGTATCAAAAAAAAAAAGACAAATGTGAAAATCATTAAATCAGTTAATGTATCCCTATTGTTTACTTACTATCAAGATCAGATAATTCATTGCCAAATTGTCCATACATTAAATAATAAACAGGATAGGCAATTTGACGAAAAATATTTCGACCATCAAATGCAATGTTGACATTCGTATCATTGAATGCATTAGGATTTGGATAGTAAACCACTGAACGAGAAGCAACACCATAACCAGTCATAACAATAAAAATAATGCACATAAAGAATAAAAGATCTTTAAGCTAGATAAAAGAAAAAATCGATTTATTTTTATTCAAATAAAAAAAAAGGTCTGTCAATACCATTCTTCCAGCAGCTACAAGAGGTGGTCCAAGAAATTGTATAACAATAATAAATGATAGCGAACGAAGGTACCAAATTTCAAGATCAAAAGCCATCACCACCCTATATAATAATAAGGCTTGTATTTAATCGTTCAGTGTTTTATTATGAATGTTCAGTAAATTTTTTATCAGATGTTCAGTAATTCTTGTTCAGTAAAAAAACAATTTTTGTTCAGTAAATAATTCATGAAGTTCAGTAAACAATATAAAAATTTCAGTAATTAATTTAAAAATGTTCAGTATTTAATCTATTTCTGTTCAGTTTTTTATTAGTTTATTTCAGTAAAGAGGATGTGTGGGTGTTAATCTGTTCTGATAAGTGACATCGAGATCAACATGCACATCCTAGTCGAGACTTCCTAGAAGAATCCCTGTCGTGAGTCCCTGGGGGAGGTAAAATGGGATTCAGGGACTTCGTGGTGAATTCTTTGGGGCTCCTCAGGGAATTGATAAGTATCATCCGGGTCTCCCAGGAAAACCACCATTAGAATTCTGTAAAACCTTCAAATTTATGAAAATTTTAGAGGGGCTCCATAAAATTTGGGGACTCTTCGGGGAGTTTTAGGAGATTCCTGAGATATGCAACTCTCCCGAGGACCCGCGACAGGGATTCCCCGAGGATTTCGTATTTTTCAGGGCTCCCCAGTGATATTGTTGGGGAGAGCCGACTAGGGCACCCATACCCACACCCTACACCCTCTATAGTTTCACTTGTATCCATTCCTTCATCAGAAACATAAGTTGGAACTTTAACAATTTCTAAGACCGTTCCCATTGTAACATCAAATTCACAATAGTAATTATGGTTATTCAGAATTCAACTTATTTAGAAGAAACGAACTAGTTATACAGGAATAGGCAAAGGGACGAATAAGGGGACGATATCGAGAATCTTCTTCACCTTTGTTACATGGAGAATAAAGAGAGAACACAATGTATTCATCTTTATATGTCACTGTAAAAGATCGAACAACTACACTAGAATAGAAAAAGTAGGTTAAAAAAACATGGCATCCATCCGTGATACAACTTATGTATATAATTATCGAGGGTTACCATATAACATAGTATGTTGACTTATGATGTCGTCATCAGTCAATGTGGACAATCGCTCATCTGTTTGAATCAAAATATTTTCATAGAAAAAAATATGTGATTACTGATAATAATACTACTTTTTACTGAGTAAATGAATTTTTTAACCAGCAAACTGAATTGATTACGGAAACTTTAATTTTAATACTGATCGATTTATTATTTTACTGTGCAAGTAATAAATTAACTGAATAAACGAAATAGTTACTGAACATTGAATTTTGTACTGATCGTTTGATTTCTTTACTAAACATTTGAATACAATACTGAACAAATTTTACTGAACATTTAATTTGTCCCCTAATAATAATAATAATAAAATGTATTTATCTATGTGAGAAATTGTGGATAAGAATCAACTGTTAAAAATGAAAAGTATATTTCCTTAATCTATATTAATTAACTTGAAATGATTCTGTTCAATTTTAATAATATTCAATTACATACAAATTATCTTCGTCTAATCCAGTAGCGAAAGTTGACAGAGCGTACATCTCCACTTCCTGCGTCTGAGCGAGATCATATTGTTCATATCTAGGCTGAACTCTTAGCATAAAATCCTGACTCCGTTACTATTCTCTTTAAATACATTTTATTCTAATATGCAGAATGAACATAGAATGTAATTGATAGGGTTTGTATGAAAAAAAAAATTATTTACCAGGAAAAATCTTACCTAGCTGCAATGAATTCATCATCCGTAGCTGCATATGCAAATCTTAGAATTAATCCAATATAGAATAGAATAAATCCAAGTAGGTTCATTATTTTAAATAGATTACTAACATAACTTCTACATTTTCCTAGAAAACTTAAATTATCTAGATAGATAAACTAAAATATTAATAAAATAAATTCTTATATTTTATTTAATTATTAATTAATATTTACATAATGAATTTCTTCGATTAACATGCATGTAATAAAAATAATTGTTAAAATTTCAGTCCAATGAATTGATGGATTCTCATGTGTTGGTCGTTGAAAATTAAATAAGAGCACATAGGAAAAAAGTAATAGAAAAAAACAATAAAACATCTAAAATAAGCTTAATTAATGTTGTTCAACAAGAAAAAAAACTAAATTTAATACATACCCAATGATAACAATATTTCATTAGTAATGCTCGATGAAAATTTTTCACTTTATTCATATATTGATTAACTAGTCGTTGTTTGATAAAATGAGGATATTCAAGTGAATATGGATCAGAATAATCTATACCACAACTTTGTAAACTAAATTAATTAAAATTTATTATGAAATTGTTATTTTTTTCAAGTAACATACCTTCGATTAAGAGGTTCATTTTTTGATCCCTAATAAAAAGAAGTTATTGTTAATTTATCGAAAAGCTTTTATTTTCATCTTTTCATCGTCCAAATTGATCATTAAAACAATTACACTGAGGAATAGAGATGTGCGAGAGTAAGATTTTTTTGGTTCTGTTATCGATACTGAAAGTAAGATTTACGCGTATTTCTATATAGAACATCTCTAGAATAGTTTCAATCTGTAGACATACGCAAGATTAAATAATAAAACCTTACCGAGATCGTGACAACGAGAATAAAGACTTCTCTAGACTCTGATCATAAGTCTATAGTTAAATGTCCTATAGTGTTGAGCAAATTATCTTATAAATCAGGACATAAATTCAGAAAATCTATACAAAATAGAATCAGATAAACAAAACAAGTATTGAAGCACTATTTGAGATGTGATATAAATGAATTCTAGTCTCTAAATCGAAACTAATACTTGAACAAATAGTCACTTCGTTCATCTGATTTGAACGGTAAACTGAACAACTGGATGACCATAGAAATAATCAATAACAGCTACTATGGTCTGAGACTCTACTCTAACTCAAGCTAGGTACATTTCAATTGCGTGAAATTTTCAGAACATGTTTCGGCTATAGTGATGGAAGGTTATGAGAAAATTATCAATCATACTACAATTCTCTATAGGCTCTCTCGTTCTCTATGTTACTTTTTTTTATTTGAAAGAGCATGTCTGAGTACTTGTTTTGAAATTCTAACTTAATGCACAAAATAAGGTCTATTTTTCAAACAGAAGGTGATGAAAATTTTTCTACCAAGTAAAAACTCATTTTGTTTGTGAAAGATTCGACCATAATCTATTTTTCTATACTTTTATCATTTATTGACATTTTTATTACTTCGTCCTCGTAAGTGTTATAAATAACATTGATTTTTAAGAGCGAAATTGACTTTACATGCATCTAATATTGTATTTCGAATATAAGTGAGATAACATTGTTTCTAATCGATTGTTTTCTAATAAAGTTTGTTGACAATAACTTCTGTGTGCTTTTATCAAAATAATCAAAAGATAAATGTAAAAAATCTATAGATATTCACAACGAAATTTTACTCCTAATAGTAAGTTCATCATCTGAAAAAAACTATGTGGAATGAAGAACCAATGCAAAAGAATAGAGATTGATTGAATTGACATAAACTCATAGACTTAACTTTCACTATTCCATATGCAATACATATCAAATTAATTTGAAGATGATTTTATTTTTCTTCCCTTTAATCTTCCATCTGAATGTGATAACTTTGATATCAGTATTATTAGATCAGTTAATTAATTTATCGAGTCTAGGATAATTTCTCGTTACGACATCTGTTTGCAACTGTAGAATGTATCACACAAATATTATCCGCCCACTCCTTCCCTCCCTTATATAGACTTAAATAAGAATATATTCTAACCGGTATACATTTTTGATAAGTAACCAAAAACGGAGCAAGAAGACCAAATGAGAAAAAGCCAATAGCCAATAAAATATAATTTCGTATTCTTGATTCTTGTGACTGAATTTTATCATACCAAATATTATTCAGAGCTTGAACACAGCATGGTGTTGCAATAAATAATTTATCTTCTGCATTAGCAGCAATCTATAATATAAAAATTTAAATAAAAACAAAAAAGATAAATATTAATTATACTTGAATACAAGTAACATTTCCATAAAGTTCTATTCGTTGTAAAACAATTTGACATCCTTGATCTGAATCATTTTTTTCACATTGACTTATACAATTAATAGCATATTGTTGAAAATAATTCGCATTTTTCATATAATTAGCTTTTAATTCACCATGTGTTGCTTTATTATGATATTCTTTTAAAATTTTTGTTGCAATCAATGCAGCACATATACGATATTTAACATAACATAAAAGAACTTTTGCCATATCAATATGATTCATAAGTATTGACCATAAAAATAAATCTCGCATTATATAATCTTGAATTATTTCTTGATTTTCTCTATCGATAAGATTATCTTCAGATCTGACATCATTATCATAGTAATGATTTGCTTCATTATTTTTCTCACTTAAATCCCATAATGATCGATATCTTTTCTCTTGTTTATCACTATCAAAATATAATTTATTCATATAATCACCAATAATTGTAGTAAGAATAGTATTAAGATGATCAGTAGTAGTAATAAGTTTTTCGCTAGAATTAGAATCTGATTCGATAAACCAACTTAAATGTGTTGTATTTTTATTCTATAATTATATAAAAGTCAAAGATTTATTTTTTTTTATTTCTTACTATCTAAAGATACAACATACCACTGCTTCTTTGTCATATAAATCTTTAATAAATTTTCTATATCGATCCGTTCCATAAAAGAAGTCATCGTCTGAAAAGAATATTTCATTTGGATCTATACCCAATTTAAGAAATTCATAAACAAATGTCGGTAAATTATTTTTCAAAGCATTTAGAAAAGCTTCTTCTTTTTTCTAAATAAATAAATAAAAAAACAAATTATTTGATACAGTATTCTTAAATACATCAGAACATGATCTCATTGAATGTTATTAATTATCTAATACAGTACAATGAAAAATATGAGACCTACCCAGGCGAGCAAAAAATAAGGGGTGACGCCCGACATGACTAGTCTAAAGTGTCCGTAGTACCCGTCTGGACTAGTCTAAAGTGTCCGTAGTACCCGTCTGGACTAGTCTAAAATGTCTGCACTGCCCTTTGGACTAGTCTGAAATGATTTGCAGCAAGTCAGGACTAGTCGTCTTCACGAGGAACGTCTTGCATCTAAAATAGACTAGTCCAAAACATGCTCTAATCTTGTCATGACTAGTCCGTTTTGTATGTGCATACTGTCCAGACGCGTCAACTTGAAGGCAAAAACTAGAAGAAACGGAGGCGATAGGCGGATTCGAACATTCAAGCCGACAATATTGGATACCTGACTAGTCTGAACTGTTTTCAATGAGTAACGCGGACTAGTATGAAGAGTCATCTATATTGGTCATGACTAGTCGTTTTCGAGAAAGTAATGCCAATTCTGGTCCAGGCTAGTCTATCCTTCCAAACAGTCTTTATTGCTTGGACTTAATCATTCGGACAATTCGTTTTGACTAGTTTGCATTGGGACTAGAACGATGTATCTAATGAGAGTTGGCTATTTATGTCCTTTTAAATTTTTAAATTGTAATAACAATCAAGAATAATTTTATTCGAAAAATTAATTTTAATGCATTGATATGAGAATATTATTTTATTTCAATATAAAACCTAATGATTTGAATTTAAAAATGGATTTAAACGGTGGAATCATAGTTCATTTTCAAATTTAAATAGGAAATATTTTAAATTAAGATAAACATAAACCATGAGATGAAAAGCAAGATTTTTTTTTGAAATATATATTATTATTTTGATTTTGATTTAAATTTGAATTGTTTTTTTTCTAATAGAAAATAACGTTTTCCAAATGTCGATAATCAAAAAAAAATTCTGTTGAAGGAAATTAAAAAAATTCTGAATTAATTTTGCTTAGCTTTATGTAACTAATTTTCGATTTTATTACTAGTTTCTATAAATATTAAAACTTGAGAAAACGCTGAGTCAAACTGTAGTAATTAGTGTCTTCAGATGTGTATTGACATGTAAAAGTTGATCACTAGATCATATGGCTAAATCGGGTAGACGACGAGTAAGTAACACAAGGTATGCATGTACGAATCTAACTTTCTGCACATATTTCTATCGTTTAGACTAGTCCGAACTAGACCGCTACATAAGATTGAAACCTAATAGATGTCGCGTCACAGACGCTCTGCTTTTTTTTTATTTAAAATCTATTTTCGGACGGGATGTCCAGACGGGGTTAAAGATTCCAAACCATTTTGGACTAGTCATGTAGTAGGACTTTTTGAGAAAAAGACTAGACATGACGCATAGTCACGACTAGAAAAATGACTAGTCTTTTTACCCGTCCTTTGCTCGCCTGGGTACTTACTTGTGATTTTCTACTACATCGTTAACTCAAATTTGAATATCCGTTTGAATACCCAATTTAGTTCTTGATCAAATGTCACTCATACTAAAATTCTATAGATATACTATGCGATGAAGACGTATGAAAAATCAAACATACTCAGTGTTTTATGCAACTTTTTTTTCTTCCCAGGAGCGTCTCTCCTTCAGACATCTCTCTGGGATAAAAACACTGAACAGACTGATTTTCCAATATCAGAATATTTATTTTTGAAGAATATCATTTTGAAGAATACAAAATGTTGAATAAAATAAAAGGTTACTACATTTCCTAAAACTTTCGTTCAAAAACATTATAACTATTGCAAAAAAATTACAATATTCGACTATTTCTGATATCTATAGCTTTTTCGCGGAAGATCATTGTACATATGAAATTTTGGTTTGAAATGTATTTGATTGAGAACTTAATTGGATTTTCATGCCAATATTTTGACTTTAGTTAAATGTTTGATAACGTAGAGAAAAGCCAAAAATACAGAGGTCTTATATTTTTGATTTCTACTTTGTCTATCATTGATGAAAAACTTCTGCGATCCGATTTATTTTTCAATTTTTTCCATCTTCATGATTCGATTGATTTTGTATGGCCTTCTATATTTCTTTGAGTACGAAATACGAATAGGACTTATTGCTTTTGGTTTTCGATACAAAAAATTGACCAATCATGTTTGAGTATCATTCGGAGCCGACCAATAAACTAGAATTTTATTATTATTTTTTTCAGCAACTCAAAATTTTACGCATACTATCATCACTTAGACAATACAAAATAAACGGGTGCCCAACGTGGGAAGACGTTGAGAGCTTACTTCTGCTTCTCCTTCATCTCGCCGATCTTGGCGACTTTAGCATACTCATACGGTCAGCTTTATAAAATTCTAAATGATTCGACGTCTGAAATCACCTTTATCTCTCTTGATCTTGCGCACTTGTGATTCCTCATTAAATTTGGAGTGAGCTGAAAATATTTCTCATAGGTAATTTTAACTATTCTGCAAAGTCTATTGGTCAGCTGTTCAGCTGGATATATGAAATATGATAGTGTTGTTTTTAAACGAATGCAACACTTTCATTTATTTATCCTTCACACAAGAAATTTTTCAGCCTTAAAGTGTATGAGAGTCATGATGAAATATCACATGATTTAATGGAAATATTCGTCAAAAAAAAAATTAGATCCTCGAAATACAAACCGTTCATACCAGAATATTATTTAATGAATTTTCTAAGATTAATTCTTTTGCAGCATCAATACAGTTCCAATCCATTGCTAATTGTAATAACTGTGATCTTTGTGCATTTCGATCATTTTTATTAAATTTTTGAAGTACACTTGATTGACGTTTTTGATCTTGTTGATTATTTGATGTTTTAGATTTTTGTTGATTGCTATCTCTTGTATCATTTTCTTTACGTATAAAATATTTTTGACGTGCTAAATAAATTTATTTATAAGTTAATAAAAAAAAAACGAAAAAGAAAATACTCAACATACATTTACAAATACTTCGACAAATTATGTCTGATAGATCATCATCTGAATTTAAATTAAATACATTTATACCAGAACGAACACTTGGTTGAAGACAATAGATAACTTGACTGAGTGCAGCAGCTAACTTAGCTTCTCGTTTATTATTTACATTAGTTGATAATGAAGGGTTTCTATTTTTCTCTTTCGAATCATCATCATGTGTTAATATTAGATCAAGGTCTGATTTAAGTTGGTCGAGATATTTACTAAATATTGCTTTAAATCTTTAAAATAAATAAATAAATATAGAATTATATATATATACATACAAGAAACAATTTCATTTAATTATTTACGTGTTTTTAGATCCATCAAGGTGAACTTCAAAATGTGTATGATTACTGGAAAAGAATTTTAAAAAAAGCTTCAGAGAAAATTGAATTTTAAAATTACTTTTACCTTAATTTTAAACTACGCGCATCATATTGAGTTGAAGGTTGAAAATTTTCAACTGGTGTTACATCAATTTCATACGCAATATCAGGATACTTACTAGTATCATCAAATTCTTTCGTATATAATAACCATTTTTGGAAGAAATCAGCAACACGACCACTACCCTATTTTTCTTATACATTATCATACTGTATTCATCGTATTTGATTTACTTACATTAATAATAACAACAGGAATAGTAGCCTTCAAATCGTCGTATATATTTTTTATAGCTTCTCTACCACCTTCTACCACAATAGTAACAACAGGAGCTAAATATTATTTAAAAAGAAAGTTATTAACGCAATTTCTGCAGAATTAAAATACTAAACACGATGTAACTGTTGTTGTTAGTCAGAGAGAGAGAGAGATTGTTTTATTCTACCTATTTTGAAATACATTTCCTTATCATTCTTCTATTTAATCCTCCAGGAATATAACAAAGAAGTAATTCATGTATTACTATAACATATAAAGCTAGTGGACTTCATGAATCTTTGTATCCAAACTTGACAGGCTCTAATAATGAGACGCTATTCATAGATAGCCGTTGATCGTATTGCAAGGGATTCCACTCATTACTGCTTCTCATATTTGTGATCGAGAAGATCCATCAAACGTATGTATGCACGTCAGTTGTTCTTTTTCTTTTCCTTCGCTTTCTTTTTTCGGTTTTGTATTAGGCCATTCTTCGAAACATAGTGGGAACAAATGAGTCATTCCATTGCACATATATTATCAACGTTCGTGTTATAGAGATAATAAATGATGACTCTACTATATTTTCGTCATCTTAATTACAGTGCACCTCAAATGAATTTCTTTCTTTAAAGTGTTATAATCTGCTCTTTTTTTTCTGAAAATGAGTATAAGATAAAGACATCATTACATCACCAATATTAATTATAAATAACAAGTAACGTTTGTCACTACGATTCGCTTGAATCTTGACTGAAACAATTCTCTTCGTTTTGAGAATCATTATCAGACAAATCATTGATATGTGTGATGCTACAACCAGCTCGATCTGAATAAATCTTCCATCTTTTACAGTTTTAATATATCTGGTTGAAAGCTTTACGTAAGAAGGTGTCATGTTAACCTCGTAAATGAACGGCGAGTCGCTTGTCCGTACCCTCTCAACTGTCACTCGCGAGTTGTCGATTCTAGATTCTATCTATTTGCTAGAATTCCCTCTGAAAACTATTCCACGTTCGTTAGAAAACTTTGCGAGAGAAAGGCTCATATCAACCATAGAAACTAACGGCAAATCATTCGTCGGTGTCTCTCCGAGGTGCCACTGACGACTAGCTAGCTTTCACATCCTATCTTGTTTCTCAACTAATCATCTAGTTGTATTACAGTTGAACCAAACTATGTAGTTTCTGTTCTGTAAAAATCAACGAATTTTTAATAGGATGATCTCTAATGAGGAATCCTACAAATGCCAATGGAAAAAGAATAACGAAAAAGTAAAGCTAACAAAAAAGATAGAGAAACGGAGGATGTGGGTGTGAATTCCCTTTCCACGCACCCACATCCAGGATAGCCTTTGAGTTTACTATGATAGCCTTTTTAAATGTACAGAAACTGGAGGAGAGTCTCTTAGGCCTAGTAACATATGCTTTATAGGTTAGGATAAGGAATGATTTTACATGACATGACTTTTGTATAGCTAAAAATTCTTTGTAGCGTAATTAGGTGACGCGTGCAACAAGGTAGACGGACTATCCACAATCAAACTGCCTATTCATAGCCGAATAAACCTCACCCTACATATATACTTGTCACCGCATGATTCAGTTCATCTCAATCCGGACGTAGATTAAAATAAGTGGTTTTTTAAATACTCTAAATATCATTCACCATCCACAAGCGGATGCAAGTATTGTTTAGGTAGTTACGGCTAGCAATAAGTTTCTATCTCGGGGCATAAATGCCTATACCTGTCAAATCACACTCGTAAAGGTGAAAAACTTGTCACCTGGTACTAATAACTCCTTATTAAATGCTTTTATTGAAAACTGTGTAAATACCGTGATTTGTTCATCTAAACGCATGGTTTCTCATTTCAACAGAGACATGTGAGTTTTTGTGAAAAAAAAGGCTCTGAAGACGTTTCAACGCGTTTTTTTGAAACTTCGTAAATAATATGGTTTTTTCATCGATAGAATCGTCTTCGATAGAGTAAGGTATTATAAGGTGTGTTTAAAAATAAATTCGTGTGTATTCGGTTATTTCCTATGACAAAAATACGTTTTTTATGATAAAAAGGCCTTTAAAGGCATTTGTTTACATGCATTATGGTTTTTCATTTCTTGTTGGGTGTTAATGGCGAAATAAAAGAAGTGGGCAAAGATAAACGTTGCCGTATCCGATTGTATCCATCTAAAGATGACCGTATTTCGGTCGCTACCAGACAGGTGAAATACGGTTCGTTTACGGCCGTTTACCCTCGTCGTAATCATCGACCTGGGCAGATTTCAAGACATATGGATTTCCGTAGTTATTAGCGAATGTAGGAAGATTCGATGACGAAAGTCTTATTGGCAACCATCCGGCAGACCATGGTGGTGCTCACTTCTATTTTGTGGAATGAATATAAGCAAATTGAAATATTCATTCTTTGAAATTATACCTCATATTTATTAAATAATAGTCTTTGCGATTTAGTTTTTGTCTTCTTAAGAATATAGATATGTTGTTCATTCAGTTCTTTTTTTGTTTAGAATTAATTTCAAAAATGACTTTAATTAGGTTCTTCTTGAAAGCTTATCTATTTTACCATTGTTTTTATTATATGATCTAATCTTTCTCTTGAAATGTTTCTTTCGTAAAACTGAAATAATCAAATATAATCACTATACTTACTAGGAATATGAAATTCATGATGTAATTTTGCAATATGAACACATAATCGTGTTCGGTAATCTTTTATGTCATAATTTCGAAGTGTTCCATCATCCAACATAAGATAATGACTATGATTCATTTCAAGATCACGTTCACCATGTTCACGTTCGTTTACTTTTTCATCATTATCATTAGTATTAGATTTTTCGTTCTTTTTTTTTTGTCATAAAAAATCAAAACATATTGCATCAATCTTTATTAAAATATAAATCAAACCTTTTTTTTTCTACTTTGAGATTTTATTAATTCTTTAGCGTCCTTTACACTTCCCCATTTGCAAATTCCAATAGCTGTAATCTGTTTTTTTGGATGTGTTGATTTAATTTTATTGATTGCCTGTCCAACAAGTTGAACAATACCAATATTATATCCATTTGTTATTAACCATGCATCTATTTAAAATAAATTAAAACAAAATTTACTCAAAATTTAATTTCAAAAATTTACCTGATTTAAGAGCAACATGAATAATACCATTCATAAAATTTGTTTCAAGTCGATCATTTAATTTAAAATATTTTTGACCTCCAGTAATAGACATAATTAATCGAGGTTTGGGAATTTTCCAAATTTCAAAAAGAAGCTTTTCTACTTTTCCTTCAGGTGTATCCAAAGCAAGTTGTGTATACTAGTATAAATTATTAATTCAAAAATAAAAAGAATAGTCGAATTTTCTATCTTACTACAGCACCATTTGGAAGATAACCATGGGATGGATTCGACTTTATTTCAGTATGAAGATTCATCTCCCATTCTGTATCTTTCGATTCGAACCGTCTCTCTGTGTGATAAGGTTCGCGCGGTCGATTACATCCACAAATACCTTCTGCTGCATTCCTATCCAAAAACAAAATAGTATTAAGAAATCAGTTGAATTATTCATCATAAAAAGATACTTTTTCTGAACAAATTTGCAACAAACACGATAATAAAGATTTAATTCATTGAAAGCATCTTCACCAGCCAAGTTTTTATTTAACTAAAACAAATTCAATTCAATCTTGTTTTCAAGTGATTTTGTTTTTAATCAGTACCGGATGTAGTCTTCTTGGATATCTTCTATTCATAATTGATTGAACATTTCATAGAATAATTTTGTGTAGTCTGTAAAAAGAGAATTTTAGGATGAAATTAGTGTTAGATATCTTTATATTGTACTGTACGTCTTTGAATTGAGAGAACTTTGGGGAGTATAGCAACTACGTATTACTTTTCTTTGTTACTCTGAAGACAAATGTAAATACAATGCTCACATCAATAGATCGAAACAGTTACGAAAATGCTCTTTTTTTCTTTTCTGTTCTGTTCGACAGGCGGAAGCTGTTCAAGGATAGACAAACAATAATATAGTTGCGTCGAAACGTACGATTTTTTTTGCTAAAGAACAAAGCAATGTTTTATTTTCTTTTAATAAGCAACTCGGTCGTCGTCGTCTTCTTCCAGAGCTGATTACTTTTTCAAACTTTTTTTTCTTGAAAACAATAAACACACATTCTTATTTTAATTCCACTGAATGTTTTATGAAGAATATATTCTAAAATAAGATTAAAACTTTCATTTACAATCGTTGTTAAAAATATTAAGTCCAATAAAAAATCATGACTAATGATGAACAATGGTGTGAGTGTGGGTGCGAGGGCATGGGAAGCTGGGTGTAGGGCGTGGGTGTGTGTCGATGTAGGTGGGTGTGGGTGTCAGCATGAATAGAATGAACCCACATGCACACCCACACACTCACCACCTACACCCACCCCACACCCTCTGGTAGAGAAAAGATCCCGCGTCCGTAGACGTCCTGAGAGTTTTGGCTGAAGAAGTTGACGAGGTCTATTTTGAGATCGTTCTCGTCGTCGAATTTTTTCTCGCGTAAATAGTTAGACAGAACGGTACAAGTGGTAATCCGTAGGAGCCAAGTCTGGAGAATAAGGTGGATGTAGAACCGTAACCCATCCGAGCTCCAATAATTTTTCACGCGTTGACTTTGCAATGTGAGATCTGGTGTCGTCATGCAAAAAATAAATTCTATCCTGCTTCCCCTTGAGCTTTGCTGCAACTCGGTCCAATTGTTGACAATAGAGATCAGCAATTATGATGCAGCCAGTTGGAAGAAGCTCCAAATGAATAATCCCTTGTACTCCCAACCAAACGCTCAACATAATCTCCTTTGGGTGAAGGTCACTTTTGGGCATTGGTACACCTCTTTGTCCAGCTCCCAGCCACTGTCGCTTGCGTGCGTGGTTAGCAAACATCATCCACTTTCCATCGCCAGTAATAAGATTGTGGAGCCATTGGTAGTTGCGATGAGATGTCATTAATTCCATACAAGCATCCGCCCTGTGTTGGAGCTGATGTGGTGACAATTCATGTGGTATCCAAACTCCATATTTCCACGCTTTTCCTAATTCGCCCAGATGTCTTTCCACTGTAGTATGAGAGCACTCAAGTCGCTCTGCTAAACACCGTTTAGTCAATCTTGGATCTTCTTCGACAAGCTGCTTTAAGACATCCATATCCACATCTAGTGGTCTTCCGGAATGAGGTAAATCGTCGAGTTCGAAGTTCCCGTTCTTGAACCAATTGAACCAATGTTGCGCTGTACGGATGGAGAGTACATCCTTGCCCATCGTGCTGCATATGTTGCTTGTCGCTTACGTTGCTTTGCGACCCAAACGGAATTCATGAAGCAGAAGCAGTCGGAGCTCTCTACGAGATATCTTTATTTCTAATTCAAGATCAACATCCATATTCATAGTTTTGTTGTTCTTCGAAAGATATTCGTACCCCCTTTATATACTCTTGGTATGGAAACTTCTAGAACTTTCTCGACTGTTCTAGGAAACTTTTTAAAAAAACGCAAAAAATTTCGTGCCAACCCAATAATACGGTGCAATGTGATCAAGAAATGTTCTGGAGTATTTTTTCTATATGTAGATCATATTTGAAAATGTGCAGAAACAATCTGTCAAGTGGATCCTGTTTTCTGGCAGCAGAACCCAAGGCAACAGATATTCTGACACCCATACCCGAGGGATGTCATAATATCCTAAAGTAGAGTATCGAGATTCATACCACTACTAACATCAAATCAACTTCAATGCACTAATGGATACTTGACAGGTTTGGTGTTACGTGAGAGATGAGAATGTTGGAATGTGGTCGGGGTGATAATATTAACGGTTGCACAATGTTGGAGTAGTGCTTAGAATGAAGGAGATTAGTTTCGTTGAAACTGGACGAAAAGTGTAAAAGGGTGGCATGTATGAATTGTAATTGTTATTTCGCCACCTGTTGTTCGAAACGAAGAGTTTAAAAAAGTTTTATTCGAAGGTGTTTTGCAATGTGGTTTATATTTTGATTTTGGATGACGATAGATTAGCATATCTTGTAACGTTTTCGGGCAAGCACTAATCTAGCTGATGTTTGAGTTTGTAGAACAAACCCAACAGCGTCAAAATGATTGTATTAAACTTGTAGTGGTTTATGTTAATAGGTGGAACAGAAACGATGCTCAGTTTCACAGGAGCGCGGTCAAATTGATAATTATCATGACCTTTTGAAGTGTGATCTGAACCTTACTCCTTTCGTCTCCGTACTCGGAGAAGTTATGAAAAATTACTTGGCATGATGGTAATACTGTTAAATGTGTTCGAAAGTGAGCTAATGTGACTGTGCGATCCTTACATGTGATCAATTCATTTCTTTCATCATGCTCATTTTCTCGAATATGATCAGAGCCTTACTGCCATCACCCTCATGCTGTACATTATCATCAACCCATGTCTGTCCTCACCCTCATGATGTCCATTATCATGAAACCATGTCTACCCTCACCCTCATACTATCCATTATTATCAAACAATGTCTGCCCTTACCCTCACATTCTCAGATGCGATCGAACTTTGCTGCCCTCACCCTCAAGCTGTCTGGTATCATTAAATTTCCACTCAGCATTTGCAGATAAAACATTAAGTATTAAAAATTTAAGACCCGTATAGATACAATATTCTTTGAAACAACTAACTCGAAAGTTTGATAAGCAAGGAGGTTTGAATGAGTGATTATTAAAGGTAACAGCACATGACAATAGGTATGTGTTGTACCTACTATATTAGAACATAATAAATGATTATAATACAATAAATGATTATAAATATTACTGGAATGTCAATTAAACTTTGTTCTTTAAAAAATCTAGATGATGGTATATGACATACGATGGCTCCTGTCTAATTTTGAATTAAATTTTTCCATTAAACGTCAATTAACTTTTTAGTTGTAGATACGCCAATCCCCGAAAATGTCGAACATTAATATTTATTCATTTTGTTTATAAAGCCGTATTCCTGCTATGAAATTTATTATTACTCAAAACATTCTTTTTAAAGTTCATTTCCGCATTGTAGAACAAAATGAAATCTAGTGCAAATATGATATACACATTGCATTATGAATAAGTGAAAATCAAGATTCTATCCACTACCAAACGAACAAACACGTTCTATATGTGATTAATGGAAATGAAAATTAGAATTTATTGATAAACAACAAAAAAATATTCCCTCGTTTTACCCTTACTAAAAACGCATTATACGGAAGCTTAATTTTGCCAACGACAAATATCTAATGCAGCATCCACTGGAGCATCAATCTCGTTACACCAAATGTATTTCAAATTTTCAAGTATAAAACTATATGGTGAAAGATTGTGTAATGAGATGATTGCTCTTGTGGATATCTTGATTTGTAGCTTGTCGTTACCCAGCGTATTGGTATTATGACATCTATGCTTGATTTAGCTATGTCCTACGACAACATCGGTTTGGTATATTCCAACATGAGTGATTATTCGAAAGCGCAATTGTTTTATGAACGCACTGTGGATATTGTGCAACGTTCGTTACCATAAAATCACCCACAGCATCGATTGTATAGAAAAAATCTCGACAGAGTAAAAAGAAACAGTGATACATATTGTATTATTAGCTGAAAAGAAAAGAAATTATTTCAATAGAAGAGTGAAAGTGATGGAACTATGCTTCTTCTAACAACTTATTCAACGGGTATCAATTTTGCTCCATCTTCACCTATTGTCAATAATTTAAACAAAGACACTTATCTGAATATTGTGGCAGTGAATTTTGGTAGCAACGATGCCATTATGTTTTTTGGATCTAATGATGGAAGTTTTCTTAAACAACAATCCTATTCTTTTGATTACAATGCTCAGTCGCAATCAGTAACTATTGGAGATGTGAATGATGACAGTTTAGTTGATATTGTCGTGGCTAATTCTGATGCAGACTTATTAGTTTTCCAATTATTAACATACAAATTTATCTATCTTTCATTTTCTAGATAATATCTTTAACTTCTCACTGAATTTTATCGTTTTTATCTGTTCTTCTTTTTCTAATTCTAAATAACAAAAGTATTTAAATGTATTTATTGATAATAAATAAATAAATAAAAAATACAATATAAGAATTGTTTCAAGTGAATGTTTTGTTGTTTTCAATAACTTCTTCTAGAGTTGTCGTGAAAAAAAAATCAATTTTATGAGATATAATTTGAGCAAAGAAGTAGTAGTTTACCTCGTCATGTAACGAACGAAAGATAAGAATATTGTACTTCGAACTATCTTGGTATATAAAAAATGATATCTATGTGCGACATATCATTCTCGCTTCTATTTCTCTGCTGGTAACCCTCATACTGCACGGCAATATCTGAATCGGTCAAAACGAAGATACTTAGGAAACTGTTTACAGTGGTTAATACTTTGTTTTCCGTCATTTGTAGTTCACTTTTCCCTTGATGTTCCAATGTCATAGTTGAAGTAAAGTTCAAACTGAGGCAAGAAATTTTTTAATATTGAGGCCAGATGTGAATAAAAAATATCTTTGGATTGGAGGTATTTTTTTTTTCTACTGCTAACTTCAGATTGTTTCAACGAACGAATAGAAAAACAAGATGACACAATCGACTACCGATAAAGATCAACTCGTGCTCGGCTACTGGGCAGCTCGTGGTCGGGCTGAATCATCACGATTACTACTTCATTATACGAAGACACCTTTTATCGATAAAATGTATCAGATGGGTGATGTTCCAGATTACAATCGTGACGACTGGCTCAACGAAAAGTATAAACTTGGTCTAGGTGAGTTTTCAAATTCATTTTCTATCATGAAAGGATGTTGTTTGCGTAGATTTTCCAAATTTACCCTATTTAATCGATGGTGACTTGAAACTCACACAATCGACTGCTATCTTATACTATCTTGGTCGTAAATATAATCTCATGGGTAATAATCCAAAACAAGAAGCTCTAATTATCATGTTGTGTGAACAAGCTTATGATCTTCGTTTAAAATTTATCACGCTTTGCTATGGTCCAAATGGAAATTCACCGAATGAACAGAAGAATTTTATTGAAACGACTTTGACAGAAAATCTACAACAATTTGATCGTTATTTCAGCAAGAATAAGAGTCAATTTGCTGTTGATGACCGACCAACTGTGGCTGATTTTCAATTATTTTATTGTATCGATTGTTCATGTTCATTCAAGGGTAGCCATGTATTACTGGAGAAATATATCAATGTCAAAGCATTTCTTCAACGAATTCGTGAACTACCTCAATTGAAAGATTATATTATTCAATCACAAGCTCAAGTGCCAATGCTTCTCAAGAGTTAGTATCAAGACTACAATCACATGTATTTACTATGTCCATATTGCTTTTTTTCATCTTCATTTTAGATGCTAAGTTCGGAGGTCAAGTATCCGAACAAAAATGAATCAACAGTGTATGATCATACTGACAGTTTGATAACAAATATAATTTGCTATAGAAATACATTACCTCGTTATATTCAATCAACTAGTTACTGAAAATTGAACGCTATTAAAGCATAATCGTCACTATTTCTTATACAGATTATTTCGAATAATACATCAATACATAGCTCTGTAATTCTTTTATTTTTCTAATTACCTGTTCTTTTAAGACAAATATAAAAGCGAGATGGACATTTTAGACATTGTTTGATAATGTAGAGAATCAAGAGAAAAGAACAACAGAGAGATAATATTTAATGTTAACAACAATTCAACAATGAAAATGAGTTATTATTTTTTTGTTTTTCTCCATTTTAATTCGATCATTATCTCTCGGCATTCTCACTAAGATTGATTCGTTTCATATCTACTTCGATAGAAAAGAGGCATTATATATGAAAGATAAACTCAATATTTAATAGAATATTTAGAGCAAAGAGAATTGAGCAAAAAAGAAAGTAGTCAATCTGCAAAAATTGTTCTGTGAAAATGTTTCTAAATGATTCATTTCAAGCAACATCAATTTGGT